GCTAAAGCTGCTTTAAATATGATCACTATAACATAGCACAATAAAAACAAAGAGAAAAACGAAAATAATTAATAAGTTTTATTAACTGCGCATAAGCTGCAAGTATATAGAACTCATAAAATAAGCTAAAATATTGAGAAAATATGGAAAATAATAAAAAATAATGACAAGAAAAGAAAATTATTAATAATAATTTTTCAAAAGTATTTAAAAAAATATAATTTTTGACATCTAAAAAAAAAAAAAAAGAAATTAAAATTCCGGAAATTATTTTCCATATTTTCACAATATTTTATTTTATGAGTTCTATAAACTTGCAGCTTATGCGCAGTTAATAAAACTTATTAATTTTCTTCGTTTTACTCTTTGTTTTTATTGTGCTTTATATATCATATATATATTCTGAACAAAATTTTGCACACGAAAATTTCTAATTACATAAAATTTTTGGCAGAAATTTATGTCTCTTGTTGTGACAATATAGGTTATATTGTATATCTTTCCTTATTATACGAGAATTTTAGTATTTGAAGTATTCATTAAAGGTTTTTCTTGCATTCCTTGTTTTTTTCATTCAATATGATTTTATGATCAGATTTTTGAGGACACATCTAATCTTTTTTTATTTTTATTTTCACAGCTAAGTAATTTTTTCTTTCCTTATTATAAGAGAATCTTAGTTTTGAAGTATCCACCAAAGATTCTTTTGTATTCTTTGTTTTTGTCTTTCAGTATTTTATTACGATCAGATTTTGGAAGTCACTCCTTATCTTTTACTTATCTCCAAAGCTAAATAATTTCATCTTTCATCATCATACAAGAATCTTGATGTATGACGAATCCACTAAAGATTCTTGTGTATTCCTTGGTTTTTGTCATTTAGCATGTTTTTTTTAATGATCAGACTTTTGAGGTCGCTTTAAAAGTGTTATATTGATTGTTCAAATAATCGCATAAATATGAAATACTATTTTTTTATAGTTAAAAGTTATTTTCTTAGAAACTTTAAGAAATCTTGAGTGGTAGAAATAATTTTTTCTCATCAAACTTTTCAATTTAAAATAAAAGTATCCAAATCGCGAATAAAGAATGACGTCCTTCTGATAACTATGTTCCAAATTCATGACAATTCTTTTTAGAAAGCTATAATACAGCTTATTTTATTCTTTTTGAGCTAATGCATGCATCATTTCATTTTTCACTTAAATATTTTTGCAACATTTAGTAGTTTTTTTGTTAGAATATTCACAGCTGTTGTTTTATTTTATTTCATCATACATTATTTAATAATCGTCGTTGAACAGCTGACCCAATTTCGAGTTTACGACTACCAATGTTCAACTCTGTAGCCTTGAAATTTTAAACCTAATCCAGAAGACAATGGAACTCCTGGATCAAATATTGGGATAAATTTGCCTTTGTAGAAGATTTTTTGATGGAACTAACCAGCGTTTGCGTTACATGGTGAGGAAAACTACTGAAATCTACCATGATTAGCCAGACGGCAAGGGGATTCGAACCCGTGATCCGTGTACGACTGAGGATATCACATCTGTTATTGAACTTTTTTAAAAAATAATATCAGGTTTTCGCTAAAAGAAGCTCGATCATTTTGGATTCCCTTGACTAAAGAAATTGGGAACCACTAAATTAGTTTATTTGACAAAACTAAACATGGTTGGCATGATTTAAATCCCCTCTTTTTTTTTTAAAAAAGAAAAACTTTTATTTCGGAAAATTTATAAACATCTTCTAAGGATGGGATTTTTTTAAAGTCAGATCTCATTAGTATTTAAAATATTATCTACAAAAATAGGGAAATGGAAATGTATGTAAATTAATATTTGGTGTTTAAAATAGGAAACAAATAAATAAATAAATAAAAGAGACAATAAATGAATAAAAATAAAATAAATAAATAAATAAACCAAAAAGGATTAAAGTGAAACGGAAGTTTCAAATTATAGCTTTCCACTAGTTCTAATAATTTTCTAAATATAATTAATTAAGAATCAATTTATTACTTATAAACATTAATCAATTACACAATTTAGGTTTATTTAGTTAGAATTATTTTTTTAACGAATTAAAACAATTGATTTGTGTATGGAAATAATGAATGAAGACTTGGTTTGCCAAAAACAATGTAGAATAAATGTTTTTTTAATGTTTTTTTTTACCTAAATTAATTTTTCTCATTTGATATCTAACTGAAAAATTTTGTCTTTATCTTTACAAATTCATGGAAGTATTTAGCTTGAATTTAAAAAAAAATTACGATTTTATTTTATCAATGAATAGTTTGTAATACTTATATAATTATTATACATTTTTTAATCCATTTTTGTTAGAAATATTGAGTACATTTTAGTTACAATATAAAGTTTTTAAGCAATAATATACATTATCAATATATTTTATCAGGGTTTGATTAGTACATGTGAAAAAATCGAAAAGATCCAACTTTTTGATTTCCTTAAATAAAAAAAAGCTCTTTATTTTTGTTAAACTTGGTGTTAAATGACATTATGAAAAGAGTAAAATACTGTTACGCTTCAAAAACATGCTATGGTCAGATGTATGCAAAAAAACATGATTTTTTTTGTTCAAATGAAGGTTTTTATTGAGAAAAATTATGTTTCCTTAAGTTTCCTACTGTATCTATATTTTTAAATGCTGATGTTCTTAAATTCGCAGATTAAATTCATGTTCTTTTACTATAGGAATATTTAAATTTTAAGTATGTGCTTTAGTTCAGATTGTTTGACAACTTTTGCCTTTTTAATGCAACTTTCATTTTTAGTTTTTTTGTTCTGAGAAATCATTTTTTTTTAAAAAACAAGAAAAAAGAAAAGTTTTAATTTTAAGCTTTATACTAATGACTACAGCTGAGAAATTTCAGGAAATTATGAGTATGAGGAATCGTTAGAAGGGAGAAAATGAAAATCCGAGAGCAGCAGAAAAAGGAACAACTCAACATTTGGCTCTAACCGCAAATGGAGCTGTATCTCCATGAGGTTCTCACCACAGTAAAGAGATTGTACTTATCTCTTTATATGTTAACAAAGAGTTGAATTTTTATTAATCTTCTAATTTTTCACGGAGTTCAAGTTTGGAGTTAAATTTGTTCGAATCTAGCATATTTTGTTGCATTTTCAGTCCGAAACCTAAATAAGTATTTTATAACCATCGTAGAACAGCCTACCCGATTTTTAGGCTTACAATTACTAACATTCAACACCGTAGCCTTGTAATTTTGAACCAAGTGCAGAAGACAAGGGAACTCCTGGATCATGTATTAGAAGAAATTTTGCCTTTTTGCAGGACTTTTTGATGGAACTAACCTGCATTTGCGTTACACGGAAAAGAAAATTACGAAAATTTCCCACAGTTAGTCTGATGGCAAGAGAACTCCAACTCATGATCTGTTTACCACTGAGGATATTTTATGTCATCACTCTGGTCGGTGCGAGCCGGGTAAGGAATTAGTATCGATTCGCTGGGATTCGATCCCGGTTTACCTCATTGGAAAGCGAGTGTTCTAACTCCTGAATCACCACTGCTCAATGTAGATTTCGAGTAACTTTTCAAACGATAGAATATTAAATCAAAAACATCTTTCATTCTCATAACACTGCAGCTTTTCTTCAAGTTGACATTTTCCTCCATTTTATTGATAGCATTAAGGACTTTGATTAAAAAAAACATTCTTAACCGAACAGTCATGAATAACTGTAAGAAACTCATAACATAAAAAAACACAGCATGTTATTCACTGAAACACATGATTTCATAAGACGACAGATTCGTTGAAGAAAAACCTTAAACATTTAATTAAATGAGTTATTATTCTCTTGCCGAGTCGGGTAGGGAATTCGTATTGATTTGCTGGGATTCGAACCCGGTTCACCTCTTTGGAAGGCGAACGCTTTATTTCCTGAGCCACAACGACTCTAAATAAGTATTTTAACTTAAACCCATTAACTAGGTATATTTAAATTAGGAAATACCAAAACCCTCATAAAAAATCAAGAATAAATTATCTGTGATGAGAGACTAGGGAAACAATTGCCGTAGTATGATTTTTCTTCACTATAATTTCCCCCGGGACTTTTCAATCTTTCCTTTATTTAAAACAATTCAAGAACTTCGCTTTGTTTAGTTAAGTGGTTTAATAATAGCAAAATTTTGCTCAAATGAAGTGCATTGTTCAATATAGTAAGTAGGTAGATTGGCTCTATTATTAGAAACTGAACTTTAGAGAAATTGTTATTATGACTGAATAATGGTTTTCTAATCAAATTATGAAATTGGATCGAAAATTTTATTCATAAACAATTCTAGCTTAACATTAGTGTGACATATTTGCTTAAGTCTCAAAATTTTAAAGGTTATCCTAATTTTTTAAAAATTTTATAGACCTTTTCTTTTAGAAAACAAGCTTTCCAATGATTCTAAATACATGTTCCCTAGAAGGGTCAAAATTCTAAAAGCATACTTTTTAAAGTATCAAATTCTTGATGGATAGATTTTTAAAGTATCAAACTTTTGATGGAAAAATAGATCGAAAACCTGTAATAGAGTTGAGAATCACACTAGAATTTTCTGTGATTTCCAACTCTATTACAGGTGATTTTATGAGTAATTTCATTTTTATATTAATTAAATTTATTAATTTAAAGAAGTCATCAAAAAAACCTTTTTTTTCTAAGTGACTTTCAGGGCGATGTATTGAGTAACAAAAAAATATTTTTTTAAATTTTATGAGTCATTTTTTCTTTTTTTGCACTATAGTAATAGTGAGTACAATTTTTGCACTATAGTAATAGTGAAAAAAAATGTTTTCTTCTCCTACCTTAAAGCACGTTTCATTAAATTGCTTTGTATGGTATTTGTGTTTACAAATTAATAATTAGAGTAGGATATCATTCTTATTAAATAAAATTTACAAATCTTATTCAATCAAAAATATTTTTTACTATATTCTGTTTCTGAAGAGAAACATCTGTAGTTTTAACCGCAAGTTATCAGTTCTTCTGAATCCAAATTGGCCAAATTAGATTTAGCCCAAACACTTCTCTCACATTTTTGCTTCTTACTTAATTCTCTTAAAGTGTTCACGTTATCAATTGACCTAATTTGGCAAAGTTTCAATTCTGTCAACAAATCTTTGGTGATAAATTTGGCATCGCACCATAATTCATTTTCATTGTCCCATAAAATTGGATCTCTGTATTTTTTCAATTGAACTTTGTTCCAGATAGAGACATCATCGTAGACAATCAATTTGTTCCTGATAATAACAGCTTTTGGATGGTCATGTGCAAATGGTAGATCTGGTAGAGTTCGCCATAAATTTTCAGTTGGGTTGTATTCTTCAACTTTTTGAATTTTATAGTGACATTTGTCTTTCCCCCCTATAAGATATAACTTACCACAAAATTTTGAGACTTCACAGTATGCGCGGTAGAACTTGGGATTGGCTATTATTGTCCATGAATCTGTTACGGTGTCATAAACTTGGCATACTTGCTTTTCAAAATCTAAATCAGTCCCGATAACGAAAATTTTGTTGTCTAACACAACCTCATTGATAATGTGAACTCGGTTCATAGATGACACCCGATGCCAAGAATCGGTTTCATGATTGTAGCGAAACACAGTGTCAACAATGTTTACCGGGTCGTTAAAGTCTTCTTCGTACGAGTTATTTAGTTGTTCGTCCAAGTCTACTTCTATATCCTCTGCTTCCGTATCAGAACTTTCCACCACATCTTCAACTGGTATTTCTTCTAAGCTTTCATTCCAATCATCAAAAGAACCTTCATCAAAGTTATCGTCTGTTTCGTTTTGGGAATCGATGACTTCATCGACTAAATCATTCCACTGAGAGGTTTTCTCTCCTCCCAGAGCATAAATATCGTCATTGACTGACACAATTGAATACGAAAACAGTCCTTGAGGAACTCTGCTAACGTGAGTCCATGTTTCTTGCAGAACATCAAAAGCCTTCAACTTTGCTGGGTGGTAATAATCATAATAAGCAAAGTAAACAAACTGCCTTGCAACACATACAATTTTACAAATTGTGTTAAAGGGCTGAGAAAAATTACACAAAAGGGACCAATAATCAAATCTTTCATCGTACGTGGTATATAGTTTGACCTCTCTTTGTTGAACATGCTTGAAAATTAAGTAGATCTTACTTGGCATTCTAGGACTTTGGAAACCAGTAAATGAGAGAGAATGATCACTGGCTCCTTCAATCATCTGGCTGACGCTCAAATTCGTGCAATGCAAGCCCAAGTTATTGGGTAGCAATTTAATTTCATCTGCAAATTTTTTATCAATTTCGCGAATTCTTATATATTTCAAGAGCTCGGGTAAGTAAGCTATTCTATCAGAGGTATTTCCTTTTATCCATGATATTACAATGTCCCAAACTATATTTTCATCAGGCATGTTAAGATTATCACACTCCAGAATCCATTGCAAAGCATCCAAAGGGAGATCAATGATGACTGTCTTTGATTTGGTAAAAATTTCTTCTGTATATATTTGAATGAATCGCCTACATTTAGATCTCACGTCTGTAAGTTCAGTTATCCAAGATGTATTGTAGACTTGAATGCAATTATCTACTGTTAAACCTCCGTTAAATGTAAATACCTTGCAGCTGTTGACCAATTCTTCCATCATTAAGTAATCCGCTGTGAAAAGTACACCCGACAGATTTTCTTCAGTCAAAATATCTTCATCTCGCGTAACATAACATAATATTTTGTGTAGTACTTTACCTTTTACTGTCGGCACTAATGTGTGAGCACTTTGATTAAAGTCCCCACAAAACAGGGTGGCAAAATATTTGCTTGCTTGAGCTAAGAGAATTTTGTAAGATTCAAATGTATATCCGTCTTCAGTTTTCAACGTAATATCTGCTAATTTTTGAAACGAATGTGAAATTTTGAAATTATCCATGTTTAAACTTTGCAACTAGCTAAATGAAAATTTAATAAATATCTCTGATAATTTAAAACTCTGTTTGAAGAAAAGATCTATTATAATATTAACAATGACTTCACAAAACACAGCATTCAAACTACAACAATAAGTATTGAATTGTTTGTTCATTGTAGAAAATTCAAAAACTGCTTTTTAAAATTACACAGGAGCGTTTTCACTAAATCAAGGCCTCCTACAACTCAAAGCGGCCACACGGCTTTTTATAGGTAGTCCAATCTTACAACAAAGCAAACCAATTTTATTTACTTTTATTTACAAAAATTGGGCACCTGGGCCTCTTAGCGGCCCCTATCCCATACATCTAGAAATTTACAGAAAATTTATAGTAATAACATTTTGAATTTAGCAGTCGATGTGGTAGCTAATAGAAAAACAAGCACTTTGCTTGAGTAAATATAACATTTGAATATCTGATTCATCGAATCTAAGTTGATATATATNCTAAACGAATCAGCTCCTCTGTATCAAACTGAGTGTAAAACTCTACGAGATCGTCAATATGTTCATGTTCAACTGGTGGAAAGTATTTTTTTGATATCCCACAGATAGCAATGATTTCTTCTAATGACGTGGATTCTTTGCAATGCGACGGTGAATTACGACCAGAGAATGAGACCTTTCCACCACGAGCTGTTTTATGATACGGCATGACTTGAAAAAACAAAATGGCGGGCTCAAAATCCAGACATCAAAATGGCTAGTTGACAGTATTATCTCTCCCGACTCCAGAATCTGACGAGATCAAAATCAGTATCACTCACCTTGTAAAGTTCAGGATAATCAGCATCAATTCAACATAACCGGCATCACAAGGGAGAAGAGGACATCAGTAGAGCATCACCTTTGAATGCCACGGACCAAGCAGGAGTCCGACCTTGAAGTCGCATCCGTGACATCAATGCAAACCAATTTATGAAAGAGCCATTTAATACTAAATCTAATAAAAATAATAAAGTGGTAGCAATCAATTCTCAAATATATATGATAAATTTCTCTCAATTACTTTTAAAATAGAGTTTGAGTTCATGCGCACAACTAGTTCATTCTTTAAATAGTCTGCGCAGACTACTTTTAAAAAAAACCGTATAGAGCCTTTCTGATGTAGGAGGTGATGACATAACACGATGACAAAATGAGATTATTATTACTAATTCAATGTTTAGGCTGTAAAAATATAGTGTGAAAGCTAGATTTTTATTTATTATTTTTTTTCCCGTTTTCAAAAATACTGAAATTTTCAGAAGTTTTATCAAGAAAATATAAAAATCTATTTTTATAGAGATGTGAACAAATAACTTTAACCGAGGAGATTTTATATTAAAATAAATGCCAATTTCTCCAGTTTTCTCTGAAAATTTTATTAATTGAAAGTGGTAGTGTTTCTGTTTAAAGTAGTTTACAAAATGAAATATAGATGACAGCACAAAGTCACGTGATAAATAAATGCAAATTTTTGTTTTCTGTATTATGTAGTTTAGTTCTCCATGTGTTTTGTCTCAATAAAGTTGTGTAATTAAAACCGACATGGTAATTTCAAAGTGATTATTTTCGCTGAGTAGAATATCCTTTAACATTTTGTGACCTCATCCTGTTTAAAGTAGTACACAACATGAAATATAGATGGCAGCACAGGTAGCAAAATTCATACGTTAGTACTTTACTCAATAAATTTGATTTAAGATGAAATTGGGGGGGGGGGATATCAACGTGAGCCAAAATATGGGGAACACATGTTCTTGTTCTAAATTAAGCCAGCAGCACTCTAACATTTTAGGGGTAACATTGTGGCACAATAGTTTATTTGCATAAAATTGTCTGATGGTCATAAGAAATAACCACTCAAGGTATATTAATATTATAAGGAGATAAAATCAAAGCTACATTCGAGGAAGAAAAACAAAATAGATTGTGTGCTTTTCTGAAATGTAAATACTTTTTAAAAGATCGAATATGCAATAAAAATAGTTTTTTTTCTTCCCATTTTGCTTTAAAACAAATATTGATTTCGTAGATGGAAAAAATTAAATAGTAATGTTGAAATCATTTTATACTGATCAAAATAGAATTAGTAACAGAAAAAAAATGACCCCAGGATGTAACAGAAAAATAATCCTTGAATAAGGGAAAAAAGGGTCTCGTATTTCCTGCTGTGGCTTATATGGATTAAGGAAATGGTCCTTTTTTCCCTACTCTCCTCGTAAATAGGCATATCCATCTATTATGGTTGTCACTAAGATCTTATTACTAACATCAACTATCTTTTTTTCCCTGACTCTTTCCCCCCGAAAAGATTTACATGAGGGAAAATGTGACGGATATGAAAACATGTGTAACATTTTAGAATTTATAAGTTATATTTTACGTTTTTTCATATATGCGAAATACGTGAAGTTACTTTAAAACATACTTAAATCGTGATGATTGTTTTTATGATTTGCTTTAGAGCTGTATTTTGTCGCGAAATTTCCTGTCCCAAGTAATAAAAAAGTTGGCATTGAATTAAATGTGACATATTTTTTAAATATTTATATTGGTAGTAAATTTTACGATTTACAATTCAGTTTTCGGTTTAATAAATTTGATTAGAAATGAATTTGACCAATATATGTTATCAAGTGAAATAAATATATAAAAGCTGAATATTGAGAAGCAAAATTATACATTTTAAGGTTATTTTTATTGTATTTACTACCACTTTAAAATTTGGCATCTAAGTCTATACATACATATGTATATTTTTATATTATTTTGTTACTAATTTAAAAATTGGCATCTAAGTCTATATATAAATATGCATAGATTATAATTGTGATCTGACGATCGAGATAGTTAGTAGTAATAATCTGACAGAAATAAGTAAGGAAACTTTGCTGCACTAAACTTTTTTTTGTAAATTTTTTTACATTAACTCATAACTACCAACTCCTCTAATTTTCTGGAACTAATCAACACGTTGAATGCCACGCTAATTTTACATGACTTGCCCGTCTGACCACAACGGTAAATGACTACAAACTAAATTTACAAATATTAGATAGATTTTCCAAGTTTTTAAAAGGTTTTGCATGACATATCTAGAAAAAGTGGCGAATTATAGAAGCCTGCGAATTGTTTAGAATATAGTGGTGGATAAAAATCGACTAAATTGAATTTATTAAACCAATAATCACAATTAATAAGCTACCACTTGAAAATATTCATTCGTTGTCCGGAGCAAGTTGGCCTCTCTGTAGTATACAGGGTGTCCCAGTTAAGCGTTTCAGAACTTCTAAGAGGGGTAGGGGATATCCTGACGACTCGAAATCATATAGCAATGTGGGGTCGGAAATGCTTTCCTGAAGCGGTGACGTACACAGAAGCACCATAAAGAAAGGAGACCGTAAGTGAAAAATCACTATAATAATACATTGAGAAAATTATATGGCCTCCTCGGTCACCCGACCTATCATGTTTTGACTTCTGGTGTCAAATGAAAACACTGGTTTATAACACTCCTGTTGATAATGCTGGTTGCAAGAATCGCAGTAGCTGCCTGCGAGATAAGCCTGGAGTATTGCAGAATGTTCAAATGTCCATGCGCCGGAGATGTGAAGTGTACATTGTAGCCGGAGGCAGAAACTTCGAACACTTACTTTGGCCCATGTACCATATAATTTTTTCAATGCATTATTATAGCGATTTTTCACTTACGGTCTCATTTCTTTATGGTGCGTCTGTGTACGTCATCGCTTTAGGAAAGCTTTTCCGACCCCACATTGCTATATGTTTCGAGTCGTCAGGATGCCCCCTACCCCCCTTAGAAGTTCTGAAACGCTTAACTGGGACACCCTGTATAAATAAAACTATTTTTGAGTTCTATATTGCATCAATTTCTTCAATCCATTTTCGATAATAATATAAAAAAATTAAAAATCTTGCTTTTTACTTTTCGCATTCACTTGCATACAATGCAAACAAACACTTCAATGATATAAGAAACGAGAAATTAACAGAAAAAGCTATTGTAAGGTAATTAAATATATAATGAATATATACGTATTTTTTAATTGGTAGATATTGTAAAAGTTTATTTTTAATTTATCAATGAGTAAGGAAATGTAAGTAATAATTTCAGTTTTTTTTGTAAATATTAGGTCTACCCGAAAACTCTGCACGCGAAAGAACACACCTTATTACACAAGGAAACAAAGGGTATCTTTAAGAAAAAATTGGTAGGCATTTGCACATAAATGTGTACAGTCGGCAAAAAAAAAAAGATATCACCCTGAATAACTTTTCATTTTAATGATCGGATTTTCACGAACCAAGTGTTAGTCTTAATGGTTCCTGGGGTTGACCTCAAATATGTTAACTAATTAGTGCTAACTATTAATTAAGGTACGAAATCAAACATAAAAACGTACTTTGTCGGAATAAGCATGTATATTTTTTTACATAATTGGATTCCTGACCCTCGAAATAGGGGGGAGGGATAGATAAAATTTCGAAAAAATTGGATCAAAATTTAAGGCTCTATGAACTTTTATATATTTGGCGTCGTTCCAAAAAGATGCCAAGAATTATCACCATAGCAGAATTAGAAATTTAATATAACCATACTTTAGCTGCGTAAATGACAAGAGAGAAATAGTTCGTTGCTAAGCAATCAAGCTGAGAGAATGAAATAAAAACTGAAGCTATTTTTGAATTTTATGTTATTATAGCCCAAAAGCAAAGATTGTTTTCGTTTTCATATCCTTTAAAAATAAAATTTGAATCGATTTATAAATTATTTATAATTTTCTAAGATTTTAAAATTTGAACATATGAAATTTTTATAAGGTATTATTTGCATTGAAGTGGTAACTTCTTTAAATATGAAGATTTTATACTGAAGCCAAATTTGCATTATTTTAATTATATACAGGGTTGTAGGGTAAATCTCGATAAAGATCCTGTAAAAATTGCAAAACATCAAGTAAAAATTATAATGCACATTCACAAGGTTTCGACATTTCTTTCATTTCGTTACGGCGATGTTTCTTTTTTTTACAAATGAAGAAATTAGTTAATGTCACATGGCATTTTAAAAAGATTGAAAAATGTATGTTTGATTCATTTTTTATAAGATCGTTTCATACCAAATATGTGAGTTACGTGGCTTTCTTTAGATAAAGATAATTTGCAAACAGCATCCTGATGTTTTTATACATTCTGAAACGGATTTCCATTAACGATTCACCATAAAA